TTGTTTTGTTTTGTTCTTGCCCTTCAAAAGATAAACTCCCTCTCACCCCACTTTGCTTAGGTACTCACAATTGAGTTTGAGAATGTCTCACACAAAATGCTCAGGACCCGCAGTGTTTTGGGTCTTTGTTTATTTGGTGTTTTTTTTTTTCCTTCAGATTTTGAAATATATGCACATATACACCGTGAGATGTCTTAGGGATGGGACTCGAGTCTAAACAAAATTCATTCATGCTTCATATATATCGTATACACATAATAGAATTTTTGCAATATGTTTAATAATTTCACGATGGATAAAAGTCTGTATATCACAGACGAAAGGGCACCAGAATCTTCCATCCCTAAGGGTGCAGAGAAAGCTGGGCAGTACACACATGTGACCGTGGTGCATCTGAGTGGACAGAGTGGCATGTTCCACCTGTGGCCTCCTGTCACCTTGGTTTTTTTTTTTTTAAATCAGAATTTGGAGCAATTCAGATTTTGAGTAGTCCTGTATTGGGCTTCACATTTCATGAGTATGACAGGGAATTTAATGTAAATCAGTTCTTCCCCCTCCCCCAGCTGCACACTGCCTGATGTCTGAAGGAGTGAGGGTGTCAGGGAGGAGCTTGGTTCCTGGCACTCTGAAGGCTGAGGTGAACCTGAGGTTAGAGAAGGTAGAGAACGCTGATACAAGTGATAGGCCCTCTTAGATTTTGTCATTTGACTTAGATGTTTTTGTTCCTGTAAATATCAAGCACATTTCAGTGCTGTCCCGGCGGGAGCAGCAATGACAAACCCCTGTGGGAGCAGCAATGACAAACCCCTGTGGGAGCAGCAATGACAAACCCCTGTGGGAGCGGTACAGCCAGTCTTCAGGCTGAAGTGGTAGTAAGAAAAGATAGCAGACACATGAGAAGGATCCGCTAGGGCCATCCGGTCCTTGTGATGTCACAAGGGCCATCCGGTCCTTGTGATGTCACGGCACACAGTTAGATTTTAATAAGGAACATTTAATGGACCATGCTTTATTCTACATCCTGCTTGGCATTGAAGTCCCAATCTGTGTTTACATCGTGAGACAGAACGCCACTCTTGACTTTGAGAATTGAGGGACCTGTCTTAACAGGAACCCGTGGGGACTTGATGGAACTACAGTTCCTAAAGCAACTGAAACTTTTTAGGGTTTTAGGTTAGTATATTCTTGGTGACGGTTTAACTTCCTGGGTCTCAGAGAAATAATTTAGCAGAAGACTATTGAAAAAAAAAAAGAACAAAAGACATGGTATCAATTAGCATACACATTACCTAAATATTGTTATGCGAGTCTAAGGGAATCAAACGCTGCTGGACTTCCAGTATGAAGGAGAAGGAAGCCTTTCAGAAGTCCTTGGGATCTTCCTCAGTCATCAACATTTGAAAAGTAGCTCAAAGTGCTGAGGAACGCCAGAGCGCACAGGGTGTGCTTTGGCTAAAAGAATTTAATGACCTTGTAGGCACAGAATTGTCACTGGCAGCGGCTGACTGGAGAACTGGGCGAGCTGAAGGGCCTGTCACTCACCTACCTGGAAGAAATGGTAGTTCATTTGGAGTTTACAACTGACTGCCCTTGCTCCCACGATGGGTGGGGTGAATGCCTACAGGCTACAACAAGCAAGATGTCTGACTATCGATTTGTCTCAAACCTCCACAAGCTCACAGGCTAACCATCGCAGTGGAATGATTTGGAGACGAGCTTGATTAGATGCAGAGGGTTTTCCTTGCCAGCCCAGGACAGAAGAAGCAGATTTTCAGGTTCTTTTGTTATGGTTTTTAAGTCCCACTGTGGTAACAGAATATCTCAACCAGTCTGTATTTTCTCAAAGCTCAGGACGTGGACACAGGCGGCATGTCCTCTAGCATCTGATGACCTGAATTTGAATAAACCAGCTTTGTCCTCTGGGAAATAAACAATTGCTGCCACTAGTGTGGAATATGGAGGTGACAGATGAGGAAAACTCTTGCTAGCCCCATGGGAATTAGAATCCTGGGGGAGACGAAGCACACTCTGGTAAACTCACCTGTCTAGTGGGAGCTCATTCAGCTGTTAGTGCCCACAGAACCGGGGAGCCCCAGGAGGGTGCCTGCTGTCTCTTTGACAAGAACTTTCTGGTCTTTCATTACCTGTCTCATTTATGTCATTGTGACCTATGTGTTTTTCTCATTGTGTATGCTCACAGGGCAAGGAAATCCACAGACTTTGCTATGTGCATGCTTAGTTGTGTTAGCTCAGACTCAGGACAGATGGGGAAGGTGCTATTAACATATCAAAGCGGACTCTGGCCACCAGGTTCTCCCAGCATCCTTCAGTCCCCACCTGTGACAGGGTCTTCCTGGCTGGCACATCCCATCCTCTACCCTAAACCCCAGCCCAGGGACTGGCTGGGTTTCCCTTCCCCTAGCTTCTCTGACTGCTAGGAAACCCAGGCATTTTGGGTACATGGGTTCTTTTTTCCCTTGGTCTCCTGGTCTCTTGGCTTCTGACTCTCCCCTCTCTCCTCTCCCCACATGGCCCTGTTCAGCTGGCTGGTCATGCCCACTTTGGACTCTTCCAGATGCCTCTGCCTGTGTTCTCCCTTACATCCATAATGAAAACCTCAACCCTTAGGAGCAGTCACGTGCCACTTTCACTTTGTCTTTTCATTCAGTTGTATTTCTTCTTTGCTTTTCATGAAGACTGCAATGTTAGAACATGGGTTTCCTTACATTCAGTGCGTTCAGGGCGCTCTGGTTAGCCAACACAAGTGTGCTCAACAGTACTCTCAGCCCTGGTCAGTCCACTAGGCTCAAGGGGAGAAGCCTAACAAGCGGAAGACAAGCAGGCACAGAGCTTTTATTTGATAGGAAAAGAAAATAAAGGAAACAAAATAAAACCCCAAACAAACAAGACAGGGTGCCTCTCAGAGCACATGCTCTCTGGGGACATGGTCAGGTTGCTGATACTGTGACCTGAGTCTTATAAAGATGACTTTCACCAACAGAGAGCACTTTCCGCTGGAAGTGATGCCAACATTAATAACTTAAGCATTTCAGTGTCTGGTGGCCAAAGTTCCATATTTTAGCTACTTTAGCAAGAAAAGCAATTTGCATCTAAAAGCTCCTCCATGGGGTTGGCTTGGTTTTGTGGCATGCAGCCCAGCAGCTTAGAGAGGCAGAAACTGAAGTCCACTTTGCAGAGAATTGTCTGGTCCTAGTCGAATAACCTCCTGGTATTTGCTGTTAGCAGGGTGGTGAGAAGATTATCGGGAGGCAGTTATTAATATTCTGATTAAATATTTTAAAACCTCATACCACTATTTCAAAAATTAATTGAGTTCCTCTGAGTGAACTCTTAAGCTCAACATTCTGAAGCTGCATCAGCCTTCATATCTAACTTCATATTTGTGGTCTTAAAATATGTTTATTATTTACCTACAGTTTTTAGCCCCTGCTGCCACTGCCTTAACAGCAATGTCTAAGACGCCCATGAACATAGTCTTTGAAGCCTTTACAGCACTCTATTCCTTCCAAGCTCTGTTTGGAGGAGAGGTTACAGTCACCTTTGGTCTCAGCACTAAAAACCTAGCACAGTCTTGGCAACCCTCCTGGAGAGCCTTCTTGCTTCCTGAGGATGCACTGACATAACCAACTCCACAGAATTAAACAACAGACACTATCAAAGAGTCCTTTACAGTAAGAATTCCGGAGTTAAGAAGCAGCAAACTCACTGGTCCACAGAAGGTTCCTGACAGGACCCATCCCAGAGACGATACAATCTAACACAATACGACCTAACGTAATAGGAAAGCAAGGCACAGGAGGGTCGGGTGGGGTGGGTTATTAACTGTTACTCTCCAGGGTCTACCATATGCTTACAGGTCTTTAAAAGTCAACAGCCAAAACTACTGAGTGACCCCAATTTGTTTCTGGGTCCAGGTAGAAAAGTCTGTTTATTTGTTGGGTGCCTACTAAACGGAGCCACCATGCTGAAAAGAAAATATGGTTAAACATGTATTGCTTACTACACTGAGTGTCAGAATCATTCACAATGCCTTCTTCTGAGTTAGTTTGATAAGGGCACATTCTGATCAAAGTGACCTGGGCTGGGGTGTCTGAATCCAGAAAGCTGTCAGGCTGATGGGGCGGGGGGTGGGGGTGGGGTTGTTCTGCAGGTTAAATAGGAGAAATGGGGAGTCCAAAGGTCAAGGTTATTTCACCTGTGGCATCCTTTCCTTCTGCCAAGCTTTATACCTTCCTTTCTAGAATTCTCTTCCACACCAACAAATGCCTACTTCTGAACAAGACAAGGTCTGAAGACAAGTCAAGATCATCTCAGAAGCATTCCCATCAATCACACTTCCCATAACTCCCGAAGCATCTTTCAGAAGCTTCGGCCAGGCATTACCACTGCACTACCCTTGAACCTGGTGGAGAGGGCGGCTTATCTTCCTGAGCATATGCAAAGCAGTGACTGCAGGCATGGAGGACCCAGAACACTCACTGTGCTTGTGGTCCCACCAGGAGATGGTGGTTCCTACAGCGCTGAGAAACACTTGACATAACGCACAAGCTGGGTGTCGGTGAAGAAGGGGGACCCCTTTCGACCTAAGCAAAAGTTCTTAAAACCTCTTGGCTAGGAATAACCACAGCCTCTCCTTCAATCCGGGGGGGAAATGGATTCCTAAATCTTTCACTGGCAGCTCCCAGAATGGGCACATCGGATGCCAGCGGCACCAGGGTGGTGGGCAGCTGTTGGCTTTCACCAACTAACTGTTCACCTGTTTCCCTCCAAACTTCTGGTCTCCGCCACTACGGTAAGCTCTTACAGGATCGCGCCGCCCTCGCCAGCGCTCAGGGGATGAGCCACGTGGAAACGCCAATCTGGGACGCAGCCACCGGCTTTACCTTTGCGCCCCAGTGACGGAGGACCCTGCGGTCCGCGCGCAGCCCAGCTGTCAGGCACCATGCTGGAACCCGCACCCAGGGCCCCGGGACACCGACCTGCCAGCCGCCTCTCGCGAACGTTCCTCCAAAGCAGATCCCAGGCTCTGGCGGTGGAGTCCCGCAGCTGCTCGCTCAGCGACCTCCGGAGCGGAGCGTGGACTGCTCCGCTTGGGCTGCTCATCTCAGATGTGTCCTCATAGCGCGGGGAAGCCTGGCCGCCGCCTCGGGCGCGGGGACGCTCGGCCACGCAGGACCCGGTGCGCCCGCCTGGCGCCCTGCGAGGCGGCCTCTGCGCTCCTCCACCAGCCCCTCTCCCTTCTCCCGCTGCGTCCTCCCTCTCTCCTTCCCTCCCTCCCCGGCTCCTCCCTGCACCCTCGCCCAGCCTGACAGCCCGCCCCAGGTCTTTCCATCTCACCCCAAAGTTAGGGGCTGTGCTATAGCCCTCCTATTTCCTGGTTCTCTCCATCGCTCCCCATCCCCACTCTGACACCAGAGCTTTGATATTTCAGCAGCTAATGCCCAAGACTCTCAAGAGTTCCGGATTTAGACCACTCAGCCAGGCTGACCTTCTGGGTTCCTACACCGTGTTTTTGAGTTATTCTGTACCCTCTTGGTTCCATGAACATGAAATAATTTTCAAAGTACAATCTATCTACAGTTGACAGTGAAGTGGACCTGGGGGAGTCAACATATCTGTATGCAGAATTCTAAGGAGGAAATAGGAATTCTAAGGAGGAAAATGGGAAATGACCTTCAGTATCCTTATCAAAAGTATTCAGTATACATAACAGAAATTAAAACTGATTCCTGAACGGAAGTGAAAGTGAATGGATTGTGCTGCTTTTAAACAAATGCACCATGGTCTTGATTTAAACAACTGGATCATGGTTTTTAAGAAAATGATCACGTCTTCACTTCATGAGGTGATGAATGGCCAAGTTTCCTGGGCTTCAAACTTTTCATTCAAGAAGGCAAAGACAAGCCAGCCCATGGCTCACATCTGTAATTCCGACATTTAGGGGGCTGAGGCTGGAGAATTCCCTGGAGTGAGAGAGGCCAACCTGGGCTGTAGAGTGAGATTCTATTTCAGAAGAAGACAACCACAAACAAACAAACAAACAAGCAAACAAATAAATAAAATCAAAGGCAAGAACCAGATTACCTCAGCCCCTATCCCTCAGGGGGTGTCTTGCAATTTACAAGGCTTTATTTGCAAAGTGTTTTAAGGGTGTCAGAGAAGTCAGGACACTGTTTGATGTAATACAATGACGTGATCATTGCCTCACACATAAAATTTGGTGTAAAGCCGGGCGGTGGTGGCGCACGCCTTTAATCCCAGCACTTGGGAGGCAGAGGCAGGCGGATCTTTGTGAGTTCGAGACCAGCCTGGTCTAGAAGAGCTAGTTCCAGGACAGGCTCCAAAACCACAGAGAAACCCTGTCTCGAAAAACCAAGAAAAAAAAATTTGGTGTAACCCAAAGAATTTCAAAAGAGAATTTCTAATTTTGCTTGTTTTTGAGAGGGTCTCACACGTAGCCCAGGTTGGCCTGAAACTTGCACCATGAATGCCCCTTATATTCCCAGTAGTCCCACCTCACCCTCGCTAGCGGCCGAATGACTGTGCCCACCACCACACCTTGCCAGAGAATGTCTGAATTCTTGCAATTGTTCGTTTCTCCCCTTTCTTCTTAAATGTCTTTCTGCCTGATTGACAGTGGTTTTTTTTTTTCACTTTAGATGCCCCATGTGAAGTTTAAAAATTCAAGAAAATGGTCCGATTCTACTGTTTTATAAATTACTAATGACTTAGGGTGGAAATTAGAGCTTCCCACGTACCCTCTACTGGGGTCTACATGCTCAGTAAGAATGCCTTCCGTCAGTTTATACTGTCCTAGAGAAACCGGGAGACGGACCATTGCAAAGATAGTCGTGATCACCAAACTTTGTTGTCAGCTGAACCACATCTCAGAACAGCTAGAACGCATTGAGGAGCGTTTTTTGCATGGCCTTGGTAAAACCTTTGGCACTGTCAGTTATGATGCAATAAGACCCGGCCTAGAAGTGGACTTGAACTTACGCAGCCAGTTACAGACTAATTGGCTCCAGTTCCAAATGCCCTGATTGCATCTTCTGTGTTGTACGCTTAGAGGAGCAGCAAACTGCACATCTTACACATCCCTGCCATAAGATGTAACAACAGAGTTATCATGCCAGAGAAGCTGTGTGTTTGGCTTTTAAGGGATCCCCGTTGAATGGGAGGCAGTACGACACATCACAATACAGAGTAGAGTAGAACAGCATTAGAAAAAGCGGAGTGATTTCAGTCATCGGCAAGCTTCGAAAAGTTTGGACCTCAATTGTTATTCGTCCTAATAAGCATTTGATGCTGCTTTTCCTAAACAACGGACTCGAAGACAGGTCTGGCAGTGCAGTTTTGGCTAGTTCTGGCTGCTGCACGGTTGCGAGCTGGGGACAGTCGCAGAGAAGCTGGATGATCTGCTCAGACAGGTGCTGCCTGAGCAGCTTGTGCCATACTGCATGCCTAGCCCTCTGCAGGAGCCAGCTGCCAGCGCAGCTGGAGAAAGTCCGCAGCTCAGAGTGGCTCAGTTTTACCCAGGTCCACACTCATTCTCCATCAAATCTGTTTCCAAGTCCTAGTCTCTCTTAGGGCCTCCTCTCTGTTGCAAGTCCGTGAAAATAAATCGGCACCTACTTAGAGAGCAGAAATCCCCCACTGCCCACCATCCCATTTCCTCTCTTGTCTCCCATCACATTAGAAGAGAGGTTACTCTTCCCATTCAGGACCCAGTCCCCGCTCTGTGCTCTGCTCTCTGCCCCTTCTTATGCCCCGGGAAATGTGTGGGTTCTGTTATTTCTTGCATCTCTCTTTCTCAGCAACCCCAAATCCCACCCTTCTTTAACCCCAAAACCCAACAACAGCACCCATAGAAAAGAATGGTAACTCAGCTTCTTTGGAACGCGGGTCTCCCTTATCAGCACTGAACTCTTGTCTGCTCCTGAGCTCACTAAAGCATTCCATCCATGTCACCTCTAACCACTGACGTGGTCATTCTAACAGTTGCTGTCCTTTCAGGAGCATGCGAGCTATTGGATGTTGAATATCCCATTCCTCCCGGCATGATCTCGTCGTGTTCCTGTAGGCCCTACCTTCTCATATAAGGTCCCCCATGGCTAATCACAAGGCTCAAGTTGGTACAGAAATAAAATGTATGAATTCAAGATGTGGTTGTAGGCAGAGTCCTATTGACTCATGTTACTGTCCCTTGACATTAACTCTGTTGAGAATGGGGTTGTGGGTGAAATGACATAAGTCACTTGTCACGTAGAAAGCACTCAATGCTGCCAACCATAATACCATATTATTACATCACTGTCCTGGCCCAAATCTTTCCTGGGTCCCTCCACCTTAGTTCAATCTGGCCCGCAGTAAAATTAACCCCATCAGCCTCTCTCATGATCCAGGAAGACGTGACCCTGTCGTCTCATTCACCTGAGCATCCTCCTACTCCCTCTCGGAGCAACCCCTGACAGTAATGCTCAATTGACACCTGCAAAGCAAATGTCTGGCTATCCTTTGAGGTCTTATGCTACAAACTTTCCTAACAGATCTATCAGGTTGCACCCTCCAGATCTGATCTTTTATCTGTGTCTCCTGTGCTAACCAACTGAAGCTGCCAGTGTTCCAGAGAAATCTAGCAAGCATGCTGATCCCCTCCCCCAAGTCTTTAGGTTAGTCTTTCCCCGACTCTCCATCCCTCTAGTAAACGTGTCTAGTTTAAGGTTTTCTTTTTTTGCCTCAAAATTTCAGAATAATGGGAATCCCATTTGGCGGGTAATTGCTCTCATCCCACTGAGCACTCTGAGGGTTAGCCCTAGTTGGATGCTTTTAATCCAATTGCTTTCCGGCACTGTTTTTATGTTTTTGAGACAAAGTCTTATGTACATGGTGACCTTGAACTTACTGTGTATCTGAAGATGACCTTGACTCCTGATCCTTCTCCCTGTGCCCTCTGGGTGCTAGGTCACACATATGCAGCACCTACCTGGCTGACACAGTGCTGGCCATTGAACCCAGGACCTTATGCATATGAGGCAAACACTCCACCAACTGAGCTACATCTTTAGCCCCCTTTCTATATCTTTCTTGTGTGCTTTTGGGGATGAACATTATCAAATGGCAGATACTGAGTTAGTGTTATTAGGAAGACGCCAGCAACGTCGGTTTGCAGACAACCCCGCGACATTCTTCAGGCTGTCCATTTCATAAAGGTTGAGTAAAGTTAGCTTAGCGACCAGCTTGTTTTATTATGTTGATGCAAGGAAACTGCCCCCTTGATATTCATCTATTCTGCTATGATAGCCCTAATTTAGAGCAGTTTCAGGATTCAGTACTTTTGGGGATATTCAAATAGAGAAATATATACCAATGGGGCTAAGCTGTGGAAGCCAGTCCTACCCAGGGATGCAGGATCTAAGGGTACACCAGTGATGCTAAGCTGTGAAGGCCAGTCCTACCCAGGGATGCAGGATTTGAGGGTACTTGCAAAGGAGACAGTCTATTGGGCTCATATGCTGGCAGCACAAGCTATGGGATCTGCAATCTTGACAAATTACCTCTCTTTCCTGTTGCCCAACCTTAGCACCTACAAAACGAGGAGGGCAATGTTGTCTCTTTCATGGAGTTTTTGACAAGGATCAAATGCAGCAGCATATGCAAATTCTAATGGGGCCGCTCAAATACTTGACATTTATTGACTGCGAGTTTCTATCATCACATCTCCATTATCTTTTCACCTAAGCCAGTTCTGCATTCTTAGGAGAGCTTGGTTCAGCTAAGTTTAAAGAACATTCTGCTTACTAGCACAAAGTGACTAAACAGTAGCAGAAAACAGCACAGGTCTAGGAGGTCTCAGGTTCAAACTTCGGCTGCAAGTGACATGTCAGGACGTTAGGAGCCACATAGCCTCCCTAACCTAGATTGCTTATGGGTCACCTTTAGAGGCGAGCAGAATCCCATTGATGAGAGGGAACCTACAAGGGAGAGTGTTTTATAAATCCCAAGTGCCACCCAGGGAAAAAGTGCTTGTCAGTGAGAGAATTCAGAGGTTCCGCCTCTGAAGCATTTGAATGTTTAGAAATATTCAGTGGCTGTCTCTGTCCTCAAATGACATAGGGTTCCTTCCATGGCCTTCTGTTCCCACCGCTGACAGGATTTAAGGCCAGGTGTTTATGAGTACCGGCAGAAAAGGCTGAGATAACCACCTTCTTCCACAAAGTGACCCATAATATTTTACTTATGTATTGACTCC